TGACTGTTTCTCTCCTCAAATCTGTTCACAAACACATTTTACTGTTTATCTGGAATACCAGAATGTGACACACAGTAGAGTACGTGACCTTCGCTGGCTCCAACAAACTGTCATGACGACGACCATAACGCCAAACTGGAGGCTTCAGGACGGTTCTCCACAAACCGATGGGGGAAGATAGCTTCACATTAGCTGCAGTCTTTTGTTTCTCTGATAATAAAACTGCGATCCGATCAGTCGCATTGACACCGAGTGTGTGTGTGTGTGAGCTCACAGCAGGATCTGTCATGCAAATTAGCCAGTAATCAACAGACAGTAAGCTGTGTGTGTGTGTGTGGCTCCAGCTGTGAACAGATTACACACAACCTGCTGAGAGAGAAAGAGATCAGCTCTTTCCTCTCTCTGGATAAGGGTCTGTGTTCGTGGACTCACAGGAGACACAGATGTCTGTACTGATGACACTGCTAAGAGCTGATGGTGAAACATAATGATAAATGATCAATGATCAATCAATCGTCCAGCAACATTCTAATGGAACTGATACAATCATCAATATCATAAGTCACTGACTTTACTCGAGTACTGTACTTAAAGGTACAGTGTGTAGGGTAGTAAAGCTAACAGCTCCAGCTTTAATTTCATTCTCTGGTCGTCAAATACAAACACTTTGGGACCCTGGGAATGAGACTAAACAATAGACAATCTTTCTCGGCTCTGATTGGTTGTTTTCGTTCAGGCCCGGTGGATCCTCGCAGATACCATTTGGAGCCACTAGAAGGAGCCAGAGGAACCTGATTATTTCACAGATTATCTGTCTCATGTTCTCCTGTCAGGATATAGTGATAGATGAAACATACGTTGTGTGTGTTTTTGTATTGTATAAAGTATATTCAATAAACTAACTGTATACTCTCTAATATTTAGTGTAATATCAGAAACATAAATGCGTTTATTTACAGTGATGTAATGTCATTAATGAACACGATAAACAGATGTAGGATCTGAACCAACACTACAACATCTGGACTGAAGCAGCGCGGTCCAGCTGTTGGCTCCGTTCAACCCAACATGTGTTCTGTCCTGCGGTGACCCAGCCAGTAAATCCACTGCAGCATGTTTCTGTTATGTCATACAGTGTCATTATGAAACTGACCTACAAACTGACCTGAGACCGGACTAACTCCACAACATAATCCAGAAACAACCGGAGGATGACTGCTGGCTGATGAAATAAACGTACAGTGTGTCATTTCTGCCACTGGGGGGTCTCTCACATCAAAACTATAATGAAAGAGGAAGTTTGATGATGTGGTGAAGCATGGTTGCCAAACACCCAGTATAAATCTGCATAAAGCCCACGTGGGAAATTGACATGGGCCCATTATATCCCCTATTGAGCCCATTATATCCCGTATAGACCCCTTATATCCTATATAGAGCCCATTATATCCCATATAGACCCCTTATATCCTATATAGAGCCCATTATATCCCATATAGACCCCTTATATCCCATAGGCTCCATATACAAATATTGGCTGGGAATCAGATAGTAATACTGCTTTAATAGTCTTTGGAGTATTTTATAGTATTTTTGAAGTTAAATATGTATCCCGATGCACTGAGCCTGAGTCTGTAGATGAATCTTTGAGGTAAATTTAAGAGGTTTTGGTTCACTGGTTGAAAATAAAAGCAACTGTTTTGAATCCTGATACTTTCTTTCATTTGATATTCATGGAGCCTGAAAATAAAGCTGCTGCTTTTGATTCCAGAGTTTGTTTTATTTGATATTCAGAGATTTCTTCTGAGCAGTGAAATTTTATATCCTTGCCTCGGCCTGAGGAGTCTGAAGTACACCAGTAAACACACAGACAGCAACAGTCCCAAATAATATAGAATATCTCGTATAAAAAAACCCCTAAACTTTCAGATTGAGTAGAAATATAAATGGATGAAGGGATAAAAGATCTTCTTCTGCTTCTCAGTTTAACTTTAAAATGTTCATTAAAGTCAGTTCTGCTAGCTTTTACAGTCACTAGAAGCACATTCATGCTATTTGTAAATGTTTCTTTATGCTAAGCTAGCGGCTGTGTTGTAGCTAAGCTGGCGGCTCAGAGAGGCTAACTCTCCGGTGTGTGTGTGTCTGTGGGGGGGCTGTCAGTGTAGGATCAAGGTAAAGATTGCAGTCCGGTGCTTCTACAGCGTCTAAAGTCCGAACCACTGCAGCAGAATATAAACATACTAAGTAGAGGGTTAACAACAGCTAGCATAACCTCCTGTGAATGATGTGTCTCCATCAGTTTACATTCGGAAACGAAGGTTAACACTTACTTTTGCCAAACTTTGGTAAGAATGTAAATATTAATGTAGACGTTTTCATCACAGTGCAGCCAAATAATTTAGGTTTACAGCTCAGAAAATTTCAACAGTGAGCCAACAGATATGTTGAAGGACAAAATTATATTGATTAATATTATGATAAGCGTAAGGGACATTTTAAACAAACTTAAACTCGATAAGAAAGACAGCAACAAAATATCTTAAATATTAAAACCAGATAAATTAATTTAACCAAAAAAACTTAAGTTTAATTTAAGGTCAAAAACACACTTTTGATCAAGGAGCTTTAGTAATTTTAAGAAAGACTTAATATTGTAATTTTTGTACTGTAAAAAAAACTAAAACCCAGTAAAAAAGTACTTAATCAGAAATGTTTCTGTAACTTACAAAAATAAGTTAATGTCACTTGAAATTATTGTTAAAAGCTGCTTAATCAAGAATCTTTTTCAACTTACTCAAACTGAGTTTGTGTTACTTAAATTTTTCAGTGTCGCCTGTTTCAACTGTGTTGATTAAATGTATGAAAATCCCATCACAGTATGTGGACACTCCCTGTCCACATCTGTTGGTCTGGGTCTTGTTTTTGCAGTTTGGTCGATGTCCCTCAGGTCCAATAAAGGAAAATCTTTGAGACCTTGTTACTGCTGGTGACGAGGAGCTAATTAGTTAGCAGGTGTGACGGTTGTTTGTGAAGTTTCTCGGCTCAGTTTTGTGCTTTTAATGAAGCCGAGATGTGTTGTAGAGACTGAAAGCAGCACATTAACGCATGTCCACATACTTCTGGCCGGGCAGTATATTATCAGACTATATTATGCGTCTGGAAACGTGCAGTCATGCTCTCCTGAACTGCGAACAAGAGCTCCAAACACCCCCGGGGACCATAAATCCTGTCGTCTGTCATCCTGATGTGCCCTCTCTCTCTCCTCAGTCACATCTATCGACTCATTAATATTCATGAGCAGATGGGCGGACCTCGGCACAGATGCAGCTGGCCGCCGAGCGACTCGATATGAAATGTGGTGAATGTCAATAAACAGATACAGCGCTAATGCCGACCTGCTGTTCCATATTCATTAGCGGGTAGACAGCGAGCAGCGAGGGGGTAAACGTCTCCCAGCACGGAGAGGTGAAAGGTCACAGTGCTCAGGTGAAAGGTCAGAGGTCGGCTCATCGCTTCCTGACAAACTAGCCGGTTCGATAAAAAACTGTAGTGGTTTTCCTGGTAATGAGATTACTCTCTAATAGAGCCAGCTGCGGACATTCAGTGTATCATGTATGATCAATACATTTTCCAATATTTTGGAGCTTTGATCAATACACCAGCTGATATTTCCTGATTGTTATCAATAAACATGTCAGCCGGTATTTATTTCCAGTCACATTCTTACATTTTTACACTCAGTCAGCGTCTCTGACTTTCTCTTCACCAATGTGACAGAGAAAAGAAATAATGAGAAACTTTCTCACAATATTGACTTAATATCACAAAGTCATTATGTGGAGATACTGAGTCAATAGTTTGAGAAACTTTCTCCTTATAATGACTAACAGAAGCCTTTTATTCAGTCACATTGGCAGAAATGAGCTTCAATACGTACAGAACTGGCTCGTTCCAACCAGAAACAGGAAGAAAGAACAGGTGAACACAGGTGTTCTAACAGGACAGGAAGTTACTGTAGTTAATGTAGAAGTTGTGTAACAGGACGCATTGCGTGCGAGCGTCTGATGATCTTTTTAGGTCCAGTTAATTCACTTCGCTGTGGGGTTGGGCGCTTTGTGTGCATGATCTGAAAATCAAATCAAGTCAAATCAAATCCTCTCCCATTGAGCAAGTTAAATTTAGAGGTGTGGACTCGAAGTCACAAATCAAAAGGACAGTTAACTTTAACTCCAGTGACTCGTGACTTCACTTCTGTTTCAGTCCTTTGACTTAAAAAGAGTCGATCTCAAAGATTAAAAAGTATGTTATTTAAAAAGTGGGCCACAGATCAGTTGATTTCCCTTCATTTCTATTAATTCCCAGCAAGTAAAACTTAATTTCACCAGATCCACTCTGTTTGAATCCGATCAAGTTTTAAGACCGATGAAGACGGTATTGTTTTAATTGTTCTGTCGTTCTGATGACATTACGTTAGGTGAATAGCACATTATGACTTGTTTAGGACTCGAACCTCAAATTTTAGGACTTGAAACTTGTGACTTGCATAACATTAACTTGTTCCCACACCAAAATGTTAGCATGCTAACATGCTAAGCGAGCTAGTAAATAAGATAAACGTAGGCTAAGGCTAAAACACAGCAGTGCCGATTGACGAACATCTTATGGTTTTATGTAGTTTGATCAATTATAATATAAAAAAGTAAATAGCTGTGTTTTATC